GAGTGTGCATGTCCTGGGTTACAATGTAAAGTATGTGTCATACTGTGGTTTCTGGCCTAAAAATTGGAAATTACCAATCTAATCAAACACCTTCCTTTCCCAGGTGGGACAACTGGAACCAGAGAGGGGAAGTGAATGACTTTTGCATCATATAATTAGTCAGAAGTAGCCTGGGTCTCGGGCTCCCAGTATCCTTTCCACCATACTCTACTCTTACCAATAAGCTTGGAGGTGGATGTCTACCCTTGCCCTGGGGGTTTCTTTACCACATTGGCAGTAGTATTCTATTCTATTTTGGAGCATTTCCTGTCCTTCCGTATCAACTGGGCTCCCTTTCCTCCTTCTCTAGTGCTCCTGCCACCCTTCTACCATTTTGGAATCAGTGGTTCTGTGGAATGGAACAAGTGCGTCGAGGGGGCAAATGATCAGTGCCCAGGTTTGGATGATCCGTGACTCATGGATAACTCAYAATGGCTCAGGAGGTTGTGAAATTCCATAGCTCACTACTCCCTGAAGCTGTTGAACTTCATGAGAATGAAAATTACAACCTCCCTGTGAAAAAGAGGGTGGTTCATAGACGACTCCCATAAAGGGCATTTTCAGAAACAAGGCAACCGGCTGAGAACTTTAGGATCTAGGTAATTCTTGCCAGATCCACACACTCTGGCTGGTCTTCCTGAGCCAAAACAGAAGCATGGAGAAAGTGTTCTACAACAGCAGTGATAGAGCTGGATGGTGAAAGAGGATCCTGCCTGGAACTCCAGGTGCCTCTGGTTTTGACTTAGGGGAGAAATGATCTGTCTCACCAATAAATATTTATATTGTATCTACCATGTGCCAGGCACTATTTTGAGAATAATTATAAATATTTACTCATTTAATCCATATAATCAACCTCTAGGTTTTGGAGGACTTGCCTAGCAGCAGTTGTAGCCAGAAGGTTGAAAAGTGTTGAGATGTGTTAAAATAATTTGTTTTTCTTTCTGATTTGAAGACAGGAGGGTGAGCATGTTTAATAGAGTTTAGAACTGTGTCATTGACAGAGGGAATTAATCAACAGTCAAATCCAGGGAGAAAAGGTCAACTGCCTACTTTCTCTTGGCAGAAGGAATTAGGAAGAGGATTGTTCTTGCAAAGATTCATCACTTTTTGATGCTTTCCAGAAGTGGTGATGGATTTGCAAGGAACCATCCCCCCCCCCTTTTTTTTCTCTCTCTCTTAAATCTCCCTCATRTATTTGCACTATAGCTGCCCCAGTGCTTGGGGTCTGGTTGGGTTCTGAAACCACCCACGTAAGCCAGTGTGGAAATCAAACCTGTTCCCTTGGTTTAATGAACCAGTCCCTTCCATAATTCGGGAAGAAGGTCCTTAATAAATACTTTATTGGATTAATTTATTAATATAGGTCTAAAGCTGATCCTGGTCTTAGAAACAGCTAGATTTGGTTTTGATGAAGAACATTAGTAGAAGTTTATTGAACTGTAAGAAGAGCAAGAATTTAAAGAGGAATCTGAAGTGGTTCTTTTTTATGCATCTATTATGCCCTTGTATGTTTTATATATTAACATTTAAATCCCACAATACTCTGATCGAATCTACATTTCACAGATGAGGGAACTAAGTTAAATGACCTGCTGAAGGTAAATACGTGAGGGACAGAATTCAGAATATAATCTGTCTGCAGAACCCATTACTCTTTACAAATCATGCTGCAGCCTGAAAGATTTGGGTTTTTTTTTTTTCTTTGAAAAATGATTTGTCCCCAATAGCATTCACTGACCATGGCAAACTTTAATTGATCTTTCCATGCCACAGCCTACCTATTATCCACAAGGAATAGCAATAGTTAAAAACCCTTCTTTGTAATTAAGTCTTGGTTCCCTTAACAACTCCACCATGTAATTAAACTTATTTCTCCAACAGGCAGATATGGTTCACTAAAGAATCTGAGAGGAGTTTTTTCAAATTATGCTGTTTCTTGTTCATGGTTAACCATGGTCAAGTCTGGGCTTGGAACTGAAGGATAGGAAGAATGTAGAGAATGCTGCTGGTCCAGAACTCACCAGAGCTGGAGCTGTATGAGGTGCCTTTCCTGTGCAACATATGAAACTTCTAACTTATTTCTGCTCATTGTTTTCCTCGATGAATGTGTTGGGTAAAAACACAGGTTGCTGAAATTTCTTTTTTCTTGGAGCAGCCTCTATTAATGTAGGCAGCAAATCTCATAGTTATTAATCATCAGAAATGGAAAGTGTTTCTTTTTGAAAGGTGTAATTATCAGAGGTCTCATAATGTCTTAAATAAGATATATTTGCCATTATCAGTACATTCTGTGACTATCCTGTGGGAAAAAAAATTTCCTTACACAGTAGCTTAGGGACTATGTTTTTTTTTTTTCCTTCAGCTAAAATTTAGCTTAGCACAAGGCACTGAAAACATAGGGCAATATTAAATAGTTAAATTACATACTCAGTTATAGCACTGAGTGAGAAGGGGACCCCTCCAGGAATTTAATATCTTTGTGAATCTATGAAATTCTAAATTTACAAATTCCAGTCAAATAAAAAAACTAAGTTGTAACTAAAAGTTCGTTTGAGTTAAAAGTCATTAAACAAAAAGAAGATAATAGGCAAGATCATTTGGGTCCAGAAACCAAATAAAATGCCAAAATAGAAAACCAATGGGTTATAAAACAAACAAAACCGAATCCTCTCCCCCATAGGTCAAACAATCCAAAAACATTCTCTTAAGTTTGCAGTCTCCTCAAAGCAAGGATCCAAAAGTCAGATACAAAGTACTGTGCACTTTCTTAACCTTACAATGGCTGCTCTGAAGGGACCCTATAGTAAGTATCAGAAAATCAGCACAACCTCTTTAAGAACGGGATGGGTCCAGATGTTGAAGATTATGGTCTCCTGAATGCAATGGAATTTATGCCAGGAGATTAAAGAGAAGAATTAATTTATGACTTTCTCTACCTGTTTGCAATATGTGCTCAGCTTATTATCTGAACACATTGTGATGCACAGTAATTACAAAGCTGAAAATAATGTGCAGCMTGTGACTGGTTAAGTTTAAGAAGGGGGCATTTGTCATATTTTAGTTCATCTGGTTCTATCATGTTTACCAAACGATTCATATAGGAATATATTACAGTGAAATCCTTTCATATCAGTTTTATTTACTAGAAAATAGAACACTTTTCCTTCATCCCTCTCCCAACCTCTCCCTGAACTCAAAATTCCAGCACTGAGTTCATCTGAGTGAGGAGAGAGAATGAGCTCTTCTTGTCTTTGTTGAATTCCGTAAGTTTCAGTCACAAATGGAGTGGATATGCATCCTTTGTTTTAAAAGCACATCCACAAGGGAAATAGCTTAAAGCTTATTCTGAAAGCAGATTGGGCATCAGATACCTCAAACATAGAAAACCACAGGAATTAAAATTCTAAATTTTAAACTCCCTTTTATTGAAATATAAGTTTGTTTARTATATTTACACCACAATTTATGCACATATATACATAGAAGGCAAATTCTATCAAATAAAAAAAAGTTTTTCTTAATAAAAAATTAAAATAAAACAAAGTAAAGTGCATGGAACTGTTTTTTCTTCTAGTAAACATCGTCATTGTCAAAATTTTGGTCAGTTGGGAGGGGCAGAAAGAAGCAATTCGTATTTGACTCAGTGCATTCATAGCCTTCAGGCCAAAACAGAGTTCAGAAATGAGTCAGACAAATTGTCAGGGTCTCCAGGACTCCTCAGGGTGTGGAGGTCTTGCTCTCTTTGTCCTATCGGGAGGGAGCTGTCCCCCTTCTCTGAACAGTGATCATCGCTGCGCTGGAACAAAGGCAGAACACAGGAAGGGGGCTCCACCAGCCAATGTCACAGCCTTGCTCCGGGGCCACCAGCACAGCGTTTGGTAGGAAATTGCAGAATTAGCTCAACTGCTCAAACGGAAGTTTTCCTTTTTTGGAAAGGGAGGGGGGATGTCCAAGAATGGGGTTCATCTCCCACAGAGACCGTCAC